TTATAAGACACCCTTCTTTCGAAGATGCATTTCGTAGAAAGTTCTCACTCGTGCGCATCTAACGAGCTATTTTCCACGTAAAGATCTCGAAAACTCCAAAAGAATCATGTGAAAGAAGGCAAAATAATTGCCCATCTTTGAAGGGGTCATACGTTACCGGGTGACGCTGGTTTTACATATTCTTTATACTGTTCAGTTCCTTGAAGCCCTGGCAACTTGTGTTTTAAAGAATGTTATATGTTGTAACTAAGACTTTGAGTAAAAATTTTAAAACCGTGATTTTGTCGATTTGTGTAATTTATGAAAATCATATGATAAAAAATTAAATGTGACAAATCGATCGACTGATAACTTGTTAAGCAGGCATACTTATATGGAGTACGATGATAATTTTACATGCTATATTAAGCCAGCCCCAGATCTACAAATTTAGATAAGTAGTATAAAATTATGCTGGGTTTATAATAAACATGCAGAAAATTAATCATGGTTTGTGGGACTGGTTTGCAATGACTTTATTAGATAAAACAAGTTTGAGAGATTTATTTCGAGTATTACAAGTATATGATTTAATTTTCTGACAATAGGAATATATGACATCCACTATTTGAGATCATCCTAGTTAAGATAAACAAATCTGAGATATACAAATCCAAATCAGTTAATTATACAAAATTTCAGATATAATACCAATTCGAGTTTGATTATAATGATTTTTTTGAGTGACACAAAATAAAAAATAGTATGAACTCTGGTTGACATTTGGTTGAAGTTTGTTATTTATTCTCATAATGAATATATAATAAACTATAAAAAACTATAAATATGGGTTGAACTAGAGTTGAACTTAGGTTGAACTTGGGTTAAAAATGGTAGAATGGACAGATGCACAAACACGTACTCTAATAGAAGAACGAAGAAATAGAAATATAGAGTACCATAACCACAGAAGAAATTGAAATATATTTTGAAATAGTATTGCAAATAGAATCAACCAAGAGCATAATTCTAATTTTACTGGTTATCATTGTAAAGAAAAATTTTCGAATCTTGTTCAGAGTTATAATGTAAGTTTGTACTATAAAGCATTATTTTTTTATCTGGCTCCTATTAACATAATTAAATCACTCGATTATGTAATGTGTGAATATATATTAGATAGTCATGGAGCACATAGAAATTGAATAGGTACACAATACTTTGATGAGTTTTGTAAACATTTTTGGGAGAGGTCTGAAGATAAATTTGATAGAATCTATATTCTTAATATCTCAAACCATAAGCAGAATAGAGATGTGGAAAATACAATACTAGCACCACTATTGAGGAAGTTGAGCATATATTGAGTATGAGATCTTCTATTAGATGAATAAACCAGTCTCCATCTATTATTAGTAGAAGGAGTCAAAGACATTCACCATATCCTGCTTTACCCCATGATAACACTAATATAAACAACCCTGGTATGAGAAATTCTAAGCAAAATATTAGCATTCTCCCATCTCCAATTGAAACATTATCTTTCCAACCACCACCTTACTCATAGGCCACAGATAAAGCACAAAATAATAATCAGAGCCAAGACAGTTCTAACTACGAAGTAGCTGTCTTTAGCAGTAATCTAATACCTGATTTGCTAAATTTATCCTTATCATGAAACAAAAGTGATGCCATTATACATGATATAGGTAGTCAACCACTCTTCTATATGGAATTGATAAATGAAAAGGAAAGATAAAGATTCTCGATCACTTTTCTTTATTTAATAAAAATAGTATAGTTATAACTCTTCGAGTCACCCTATGAGCCTGCTGTATACATCGCTAATTTTTGATATTTTGTTGTATAGTAGCATCACGTGATTTTGGTACTAAAATTTTACCAAAAAAATAAAAAATAAAGTCCCAGAAAATGTCTGATATTTCTAGTAATAAAATCGATTGCATAATACAGATGTTCGATCAACATATCACATGTTATACCAAAAAAGAAAATCGAAGGTCATAAAACTTCTGCATGTACAGTGGCTTAGCGATTTTATATATGGGGTGAAGTCAATAGAAATGGAACAAATTTATCTAATAAATTTGTCCCATTTCTATTGACTCCACCCCATATGTTTATTAAGAAAAAGCTAATAGCACTTCAACAGTGGCTTAACAGCAGTTATCAGTAAATATACGTGTGCGCCATTTTAATACAACACATAGTGGTAATTTAATTTCATAGCTGTTAGATTATTTTGAATTTATTATGTCATACTGTCATAGGACTTAATGGTCCCACAGGTTCACTTATCTGCTTAAGTAGGTGGTCACTTGGTATTCAGGTTTATCAGTTCGAATGAGCAATAAAACCTTGACTGGCTTTAATAATCAATGGCCTGCATTAAACTTTATGCGATATTACTTTAATTTCTCATAGTCAATTTTTTTATTAATGAATATTACGAATAATGCAAATAATGTGAATATTATCTAAACCCTTTTCCTTACTTTATATGATCCTGTGATAAGAATAGGACTTAAAAAGGCTATAAGGACAATGAGTATAATGTTCTTTATCAGTAGTTTTATCAAAATTCATATGTCGCAGGAACTTGGCATTCCCAAATTGTCGAGATTGTTGACTTTTTTACT